GTCGAGTTAATCGAGTCATAATTGAGTTTTTAATTAAGAAGTATTATAATGTTCGGACAGAGAATTAATGCAGTTTATATCATTATGTCCCTTTTACAAATGTGATTTTATTTTAATGCGAATTTTGATACGAAAATTATGTAAACTAAGTGAGAAATTATAATTATAAAATACGATGTAAATACAGTTACAATAGTATTTAATAAAATTATCGATATTGATAAATATGGTAGTGCAATATTCTTTTGATAATATTTGTTAATATGTTATAATAATGGCATAATTGATTAAACAGTTTTACTATTACTAAAAATATGCCTTATTTTAGTGTATTTTGTATGTAAAAGTTGATTGTGGAAATAAATTTTTTAATTACATCGAAATTCAATCAGGCATTCTTTCAGCTAAATCGTTGAAATTATTGTAATTGCTATCAAATTTATTTGATAAATAAATAAAAGGATCTCGCGCATCTACACATTACGCAATTACAAACGAAATTATTGATAATCAGCATGCAAATAACTAGTGCAATTACATCATATGCTAAAATATTCGGTATTTTAGGATTTATTAAATAATTCTAAACTTATAGGCGATCAATATTTTTATAGCGCATTATAAATAGAAGCGAATCATAAACTTGACTAAATACAGATTTTTATGCAGATTTCAAAATTTGTGTAAGCAGAGTAATACATTAAAAACGCAATTTTATTGAAAATATTGATTAGTGATTCTTTTGTTATATTTAAGAAATGAATATGTGCCAGCGACAATTAAATTGCATAATGCACGCTCGCTCGCATAAAGTATCTTACGATTCAAAGTAATTTTAGTTGAAAATTTCTTAAAAACTGAATGCATTTATAGTAAATTTGTTTGTCTGGCTTATGCAGACTTATCGATAATAAAATATCTGAAATTTTGGCCATGTAGTTAAAGAAATTATTTTGGCGTTGAAAATGAAGTGATTATAAATATTAAAGGAACAGTAATTACAAAAGAATAAGAGATATACTTAAACTTATTATTAAGAATACCGAATAATAATAATATTACTTGATAATTTCAAATGAAATTTGACCTTAAATGTGTATTATTGTTTTTTTATGCGAATCAGTTGAATGTGAAAGTTACTCCAAAAAAGGATATGATTTCGCGATGTTACACATAAAATCTCCTTTGTCCAATGTAACAGACATTTTCCAATGATATTCTTCGATATTTATAAACAAGAATATTAAAAGCACATTATACACCCGATATACATAAATTTTACTTAAATATTCAATTTTTATGCATCTTGATTCATTCACATATAATTTTCGTATCAAATTCAACACTGACGTTCCCCGTTATTATGCAATTCCTTGTTAAAGTTTATGATTTATAAATTTATACAAAATTTAATTGTCACATAAAGCTATGCATTCAAAAGTATATTAAAAATGTCTCATTTAATGAAAATTTGATAATGACGATGACGTATTAAATTAATGCTTTCATCAAAGTTCACATTGTATATAATAATTTTATATGGCGCTGCAAAATATAGGATACAGTACATATAAATTGAATTGATTAACCAGAGATATCTTAATTTCTAATATATTTATCATTCGCATATTTTTTCTTAAAAATAGTGCCTGATTCAACCTGAATAGGTCGAGCAATTTTGGCAATACGACAGCTTAGTGTGTGTGTAGAGTTGATGAATTATGCCATTGTAAGTAAATTATCGAGATAAAAAATAGTAGTTCAACAATTTAATAGTCGAAGCTTCTGAAATGTCTACATTTTATTGGTAAAAATGTACAATAGAGTGGTAAAAATATAGTTACTTAATGTATTAGTTTATTTAATGTATAGTTGTTTGTATAGTTATTGTATTTTTTTTTTTTTTTTTTTTTTTTTTTTTTAATATATTTTTTTATTTTTTATTTATATTTTATTTATATAGTTAATGTATAGTAATAATACATATTTAATGTAATAGTTGAGTGTATTGAATTTTCAATTAACTAAGTATAAGAAATTTCGAATAAAATTTCCAAAAACATATTTATGTTTTATTGATATTTTAATGCTATGAGAATATTATTCATAGAGTACGATACGACAATCCTTTTGTGTACGTTGAAATTAAAGCATCGAGGACTCTCTTATATAGGAAAGTACATTGGTCGCTAGATAAGCTGGTAGATAAGGGACAGCCATCTGTCTGTGCTCTTCACCCCTCCCCCAACTCCATTATACATTCATTGTAATAAGGAAACCTTCGATATTATATTGTATTTGAACATTTTTCTATTACTTTATTACCTGCGGCACTTGCACGGATGTAAGGCAGACAAAAATATAAAGTCCATGTAAGAATATCAATGAAAACCAAGAATATTATTTAAAGGAAAAGTATGAAGTTTTCAAACAAATATTTAACTCTTGTTTATTGAAATTCCATTCAATTTCCATTCATCATTGTATCTCACAATAATTATATCGACAGTACATATTCATTAATTATCTTAAAAAATTAACTAGCAATAAAAGTGATAAGAATATTAGGTAGTTTAAGAATAGACTAAATACTTCTGACTTGATGAGAATTGGACGAGAGTCTCTACTATTTATAGCATTCGATCCATCAATTTATGCGCTTTAACACTATTTTATTGTATTATTTTTTTTTTATTTCCTAACGCATCGCTCACGTGACATACATTTCTTGTATATTGAATAGCAGCACCATTCTAACCTTGCCGCTAGAATAATCACAGCGGCGGTATAATTTCTTACTCATCGGTTCAAATGTATAATTAATGCCCGTGCTTAATCTGAAATATTGACCCGAAAAGGCGCCGCATTAAGCGAATATTAAGCGAATATTAAGCGAAAATTAAACGAATCCACTCCTCGAATTGGAAGTACAGAGCTTATCAGCGCGGATCCATAAATCATTCGGGCGCTAATTAGTCTCCCGACAACCGAAAGTTTAGCCGAGTTGAGAGGACCGGCGGCATTCATCGTCGCCCTGCACTAGGAAGTTGCGAGCGACGCCTTCGCTGAAGCGCACCATAAGTCGAGCCCACGTATTATTGTCCGAGGATTTCGCAACTCGCGCAGATTTACGAGCGTCGCTCTGTATTTCGAATATATTTATTTTCGTTCCCGGTCTTTTTTTATTGTCGTTCTAGTCTCCGGGATATTTATGGACTCTCTGGTGATGCGCATCTTTTTTCGTCGCGGCGTCGTTCTCTACCTTCGATTTTATAGCTTTCGATTTTCCAGATCGGCGTCGCTCTCTCGTTTACCTCAGCTTTTTAATTTAGCGCTCTCTGGGAGCTACGAAAGCCGCGCGATTTTCCATCGATTAATTATGCGCCACGTGATTATTCGAGTGAATTCAAAGCTTACCGTGGTTAACAAGACAATTTATTAATAATAATGCTATCAATGAGTATCGTATAATAAATTTCCAAATATCAAGCTCCAAGCTCTCATGTCTTGAGATCGTGCAAACCAATTTATATACTTCTCTCTCCTTGGCCTTGGCAATGTTAAAACGAAGATAGTGATCGTAATTGATAATTTCATAATCAATTTAATTATACATTTTTGGAAAAATCTGAATTCTATATTCATAATAATTACCCATTAAGCCGAAGCTCGCGCCATTACAAATAAATGTAATAAATATGTATTGAGGAAAGAGTACTTAGGTTTACGATTATTGGCACTAGCCGATACTTAAAAATTACATCGACACAAAGACAGTAATTACGCTAAAGTGTTTTAAAAACATTGACATAATGAGACTATTAAAATTTGATTTTTATTTCGAAGGCGGAATTCAGGGATATAATTATACAATTATCTGGAAAGATAAAATTATCTTTATCGTATTTTTATTTAAGGAAGCTATCTCTTATGCGAAAAATTTTTTAATACAATTTTATGCTTAATGACACACGCGCCTGCACGCACGCGCGCGCGCACACACACGCACAGAGACAGAGAGAGAGAGAGAGAGAGAGAGAGAGAGAGAGAGAGAGAGAGAGAGTGTGTGTGTGTGTGTGTGTGTGTGCTTTTTACAGTGTTGGGTGCTTCAGTGTAAAGTTTCTAATGCATGAAATAAAGATACGATTGGCTATACGAGTACTGACATAATCAAAAATAGAAATGTATAATTAAGAAATTTTTGCCATTCGTTATGTATTTACATAAGTAAATCGATAAAACAAATATGTATATTTGATCAATTGCGCGGATAATTGAGCGAATCTCTTCAGAATTTCGTGAATTGAAATTTATTCCAATAAAGCTTTATAAAAGGATGGAATATAAAACGAATGGAAGTGCAAACACGTAGCCGAATACTTTTACCGTCTTGTTAAAATTCAAATGACAATTGTACTTTGATAGACATTCGGAATATCAATTTACATCGGCCGTCGGTGTCTCACGACGTTATTGCCAATCTGTGAAAATCTCGCTCGTTGCGGTAATTATTCGTTTCCCAGCTGAGTCAGGGCTCTTCCAATTGCCTCTCCTCAGTATTCTCTAAACGGAAGATTTACCAAGAAAGAGTTGCAAATAACTTACTATGAGCGAAGCTTGACGGAAATACGAGTGATGTCAGTTAAAGTATTTTAGTAAGTCGCTTAAAGTATGTGGCGGTAAGGTCGCGGTAAGGGTTAAGGAACTACTTTTCGACGAAATTTAAAGATCTCAGTGTTGTCGATTAGGATGGAAAAAGTGATGGAATAAGTGACCGCAGTATCATCGCCGTCCAGCGGTCAGGCGGACGCCTAAAAAATTAGGAGAGGCCGGGAGCCCCTGATGCCGGATGGTTGACGGGAGATGGGCGGGAGCTGGGACGGGAGTTTGTTGCCAAACCCTCGTGAAACCAGTCCTCCGCGAAATTTGCCGCGGATTTTCGGGTGACGAGGCGAGGAGAGGAGAGGAGCCGCACGTTGAGAAGAAAGAGCGGGACTCACAGAACGGTGGTGTTGGGCCCCACGATAGGCACTCTGTCGAGCTCCTGGAATACGCATCGGACGGTCCAATTGGGCGCGCAGGTGCACCTCGCGGGGCAGTCCTCGGGCTTCGCGCCCACGACCAGTGCCAGGAGGAGATGGAGGAAGAGCGCGAGCATCGCCGCTTCCGGGGGGCTTACGGGTCCGCGTCTTGCCGTCGGCTCGGCGACAGCGGGACTGCGGAGCTCGTCGGGCGCCGCCGTCGTCACGAAGAAGGGAACGGCCGCCGAGTCGGCGGGCGTACGCGAGGGGGAACACGCGAGAAAGAAAGCGAGGAGGCTCCTTCGTGCTCGCCTTCTCTTCTTGTTCTCCGGCCTGTCGGCGGACCCGGCCGGTCCGCGGCCGGCCTGCTAGCCGTGCCGAGCCGAGACATAGAGACACGGAGAGAGAGAGACAGAGAGATAGAGAGACAGAGAGAGAGAGAGAGACAGAGAGAGACAGAGAGACAGAGACAGAGACAGAGAGACAGAGACAGAGGAAGAGAGAGAGAGAGAGGGAGAGAGAGAGAGAGAGAGTGAGTGAGTGAAGGGACGAGGGTATCGAGAAGTTATTGGATGATCGGTGGATTGGTTTGCGGGAGGGGTGGGGGCGTCTGGCTGGGTGTAGGTGTCGCTGGGCTTGGAATCCGGTCGGCGGTGCTCCAAGCTGTTGTCGTAGGAATACGCGACGGGGAATTAAAGTTTGACGTCCGTGTCGACGGCGACCACGCGATCAACGCTCGATACACCAAATACCATTGCCAGCGCATACCAATGCTGATACGATATGCGTTTTCATCTTGCCTCGATGGCGCATTATGCCTATCAAAGGGAGGCTAATCGCATGTACGCAACTATGCACGCGTGTGTTGGTGTGCAGCGCTGATGCACGTGCTCGACGTCGAACCACGTTGGAGCAGTTAATTTTAAGTAGGATCTTACATGGTCGTTATCGTGGCTCGAAGCTATAGTCGAAGCCTACTTTTTTGGCGAGCTTAGACTGATTTTATTGTAGTTTCTGTCTGTGAATCGTTTATCCGAGTCTTAGAGTCGGCGGCCTCACCGTAACGATTATTCGATATGGTTGGATTGGGACAAAATTTTAATCACTGTTATCGTGGGAGTTAGCGGGATGTTCAATTGCCAATAGAATAATAAAATGTGTCGAAAGAGAGTCGTAAAATTTGAAATTTAATTTACGCATGCAAATTATATTACCATTTATAAAATCATCGTATGGAATAAAATAACATCGGACTTGCTTAACGACGTCTGCGCTTATTTGTCCGATTGTTTCGTACGATCGTCTCGATACTTGGTGAACTTTAGAAATCTCTTATCACTTTTGACGCACAAATGTTTATATAAATGTATACGTATATAATCCAGCAATGCATAATGATCTATAAATTTTTGTCTTTAACGGCCGATGCGACGAATGCGCCATGTGCACACGTCATTTATCATAATTTAATAAATGGCCGAGCATCGTAAAATCTATAAACTTGGACAATGCCCGAGACAATGTTAGGATAAGTTTTATAGAATCAGGTATCCTACAATGCGGCATAGATAGTAAATTGTAATTTTAATAGCCGAAAGCCTATTTTAATGCTGCTCGTAAATCAAAGGAGACCCAGGCAAAGCCGCGAACGAACAGTCGTCGAATCGACAATTTTACATTTAAAGCCATTGCACCAACACTCTGTGGCAGCGAGATACTAATCCACGTTTCTTTTCTATCTCGCTGCTCTATGTTGAGCAATAGACGGCAGAATCCCATGTCCTGGACCAGATACGCAACCCAACGATTTTAACGCATGCTCAAGCCGCCTTCACGAGCATGCGCACATAAGCGTCGAATTTTTAAATTTTTCAACATTTTTTCAACATTTTTTTATACGTTTTTTTTTTTTTGTTTTTGTTTATTTTCACGTACGTTTTCGTTCGTTATACACTGTAATGTAGAGAGAGAGAGAGAGATAGAGAGAGAGAGAGAGAGAGAGAGAGAGCGCTGTGGGATAAAGCGTAATGGGGCACGACTTTGACCTTTTATCTATAACTGATCATTGCCAGTCTTCTTAAATAATTTTCATTTCGTAAAAAAGTAGCTTGTTTATTTGCACTTGTGTACAATAAATAATATGTAACAAGGAGACATGTAAAAGTGTACAATGTAACATTGAAAGAAAAATAGAAATAAATCATGATGTTTACGAGTATTTGAGAGATATTTTTAATTTAATGAATTTTTATTTTTACACGTATAAATTTGACTTTGATAGCTACAATGCATAAAAGCAACATAGATCGTTAACGTGCTCTATGCAAGTTTTCAATTTAATTTATAAGCATTATTATGTAACGGTATATTTATATGTGAATTCTTTTCATATGTCATGTTAATATAAACAAATATATATAAATAATATTGACATACGTCTAATTAAGCGAGAGAGGCAATCAAAATGTCAGGCTACATTAATTTCACAACTCTAGTAATTTATTAAATTAGAAATATATTTGAAGAATAACAAATAATGTGAATGACATTGTTCATAATTTACTGAAACGAATAAAAAAAAAAAAAAAAAAAAAAAAAAAAAAAAAAAAAAAAAAAAAAAAATTGATTCACGTCGCATATGCAGTAATAATTATTTGAATTCTTAACTTTTCTTTCTCAAATATATATTATTAATTATCTTTATACTCCAGTAGACTTCCTTGAGATGTATCCGTAAGAAGTTATGCTAATTTATGTAAATAGAGATAGATAAACATCGAACGGTAATTGCTACTAATTGGAAGTAAAATAATTTTAAATTTAAATAGCAAATTCATTTTGTGAATTTTTATTTCAGTGTCATTATTATGCGATAATTGCCGCAAATACAGCAATTATTCCCAAGATTTATTTAGAAATCGACATTTTCTCACACGTTAATTGCCCGATGACTTGTAAATAAAATAATTTATCATTAGCATCTTACGACAACAAGAGACACGAGCTACTACTATCTATTTTTCAATTAACTCGCCTGATCTCGATCGTTCGGTGCTATTCTTATTTGGACACTACGATAGCCTATCACTTCCATCTTCTCATCCGTGCTCACTTATACTTTATCCCGATTAACTTATTATTATAGGAGAAATACGTGAGAAAGTGCTCTCTCTCTCTCTCTCTCTCTCACTCTCTCTCTCTCACAATCCTTATGATTGGGGGCTTTTCTTCAAGCGTTTAACTGCCTTAGAGCGTCTTGGAAGGTATCGTAGTGAAGAATATCGTAGCGGCGTGATCCTTATGCAAGAGCTTACGCCTCCAAAACGATTACACCATTGATTAAAATGCCGACTTGGTTATTGCAAAACAAATGCATTCGCGTAATTGTATCTGTTTGCTCGAGCGATCGCATGATGTTATCAATGCACGAGAACTAAATCGTCGAACAAACAACAAAGCGCAAAGGTCTAATTCATTATGCGCTCGTGAGCTCCACGAGAGTTAACTATGAATCTCGCGATAGGGAGATTATCAATTAACGCAATGCATTGCGAACCTCCCCCGTGCTTTGCACTGCTTCACATGTCAAGGTTGCGAGGGTATTGTTGCGCACTTTGTTAATTCACGTATTGGTGTATATGCACATTTGTCATCGGCAAGTGCAGTGCTGTAATTTCCATGGGATCACGTGACAACTTTCTCTCATACTATCGATGAAAAATAAAGCTGGTACGCTGAAATTTGCCATCTTTCTATGCAAATTAGTAAGTTTATGTGCTCGAAGCTGGAAAAATTATATCGTTTATCATAGGTCCACGAGTGACTGGTCGTCTGCAACTCTTCCATTTTTTTTCTTGGTTTTTTTTTTGTTTTTGTTTTTTTTTTTGCTTTTGGTTTTTCTTTTACTTTCGTCAAATTGCAAAGTATTGCCTTTCGCTTTCTCTAGCTTTATTTTATGATAGTAAGCGTACGACAGCATCTTCATATAAAGAGATAAATCTCTTAAATTAACTTGGAACGCGATAGTCGAAAAGTTATTCCTCGTGTTGCATTTCATGTTTCATCTAATATAAATACATTTTTTGATGCTCTGATTGCCAGACCAATATTATCTTTATGACATTTTTTTCAAATCCCCTGCAACGTATTTATGCATTTATTTTACATATAATTTATTAGCGTGCGCATAGATATATGGAAAAGACTTATAATATTAGATATTTTAAATTTATTTTTCAGCGCAAAGAGAAATAAAATACTAAACTATTTTTATACGAATAATAAATCGTGTGCTCAATTTATTTAGGTGAATAAAAAATAAAAAACAATTGAAAATAATTAGTATTAATAAATGTTGGTATACGGTATAGATGGATTTTAAGGCTTTTTTTACTTAATTTTCTTAATCTAATATAAGTTTGGCTAATTAAAGAAATCCAATAACTTGCCCATAATAGCTAATTTCGAAAACTTAATATTCTTACATCCTATAAAGCAAATTGAAAATATTTATTTTCAGCGCTGACCTACATATATAAGTATTTTTTCAAATATCTACTTGTTGCAAGAAAAATGTTAACTTTTTAGTACTTTACTTTTTAAGAGTAAATTTTAATGCTTATATTTACACATACACACACACACACACACACACACACACACACATATATATATATATATATATATGTACATATATACACATTGTCACATACATATGTAATATACTTTTATAAAGTTTATGTAGATCATATTTTTAATCTACGTTTAAAACTTTTTGCTGAATATGTCACTGAAAACTTAGTTTATGATGGTTAGAAATTGGATTATACCTAAGTATTTCACTCGTACGTATAAGTATATTCACTTCGATTTTATGTGGAACTTTTATGTTTATTAAAAAATATTTTAAACATATGGAGTCGTTATTTTTGTGTCATTTTTGTTGTTGTTGTAATAAACTTATTAAATTAGCAACGAGATCGTCAAATCGAATATTCGTTATTTGCCATCAGTAGGAATTTCTCCCCTCGTTGTAGTCGTTTTAATAATCTATCGGAAAGTATATATCAATAGTAATAATAAAAACATTTACTAATGTCTCGAAAGTCTGCGTTAAACGGCTGATATCTAGAAAAAAGCTCATCTTCACACAAAATTGCACGGCGAGGCTCGCAGTCGTAAATTTCCAGTCTATCATGCAATTAATCTCACAGCCAATCTATCCGATACATAATAACTTTTATAGATCTTAAATATCTAACGTTTTGTTGAAGATGGCCCATTAAAATCCAACACTGTCGGTTA